AGGACAATATTACTCAGGCACAGGAAACATTTGGTGCCTCTTTAAAGGAGTAAAAAACACCCTTTTGATAGAGCTGTTTTTTCAAGAGCAGAATTTCTCAATTCACATTTGGATAAATTGAAATCCACTCACTTAACCCTCCTTTAGAATCCAGCTTCCTTTTTTGGCACCAGTGCCATTTGTTTGATAGCAGACAGACAGGAAGTGGGGTTGAGAGCAGGAAGACATGCAGCAAAGATAAGCAGGCTGCGACTCAGAACTGTTAAAGATGCATTAAGGATTCCATACGTGGCTTTACACCCACGCGATTGATGCACCCCTTGGTACCTTTCAAAAACTCTTTAGAGGAGTATATATGATCAGAAAAGTCGGAACAAACATGGCAGAGAAAATAGAAACTTTTACTCAAGTTCCACCCTCTAAATTGATTGCTCGACTGCTTGCTTAAAGGGGTCATAGAATGGTTATATGGGTATTTGGTGCTGGTCCTTAAGGTCTCTGAATAGGGTGTTGGGCTGAAAATGGCATATCTGCTGTTCTATGAGCCCTAATGCAAGCCTGGTTAAAAGCCTAGAATGAAACTACAGGTTTTCTTCCTTTTATGGTTTGCTCATGAATATTTAGATGAGCTCCCAGAACTTTCAGGAGACTTGGGATGTCTGTTGCCGGCCCCCAGCCCCCCTCCTCCAGCTGAGAACAGGCGTCTCATTGCTCTCAGCTGAGGTCCGGTCCAGTCAGTGGCCCAGCAGTCGATACTTCATACCCCCACCCCCCACCTTTAGCCAGTGAACTATTTGGTTGGTCTGTTTGTCAATTTCGGGGCATGACAAAAGTACAGGCCAGAACCAAATAAGGCAACATCCCTGAATTGACGTCAATTCGGTGCTTTGTTTGAATTCGCCAGTTTTATGGTGGAAGTTTAGAATTGTGAGATGTGCGGAGAAAGGAGGTGTTGATGGGGTTTGAACTTCTCTGTACGTCCATTTCACCCACTGAACTATCGTTATTCATCTATGACAATGTAAACTCGGTTTTGCATTCTATGACTTCAAAATATGCATCTGTCAACTCAGAGTTGAGCCAAAAAAGCTATTTTTGAGGAAAATGCTACAAACTCAGTTGGCCCAGCCTACCTTACGGAGTTGAACAAAAATGCAATATTTCTTCACCTGTATTCTGTGTGGACACACGCAGATAAGCACTGTCTTTCTATTTGAATGTTTACTTCATGTAACCCACTTTGAATCGTCCTTGTACTGAATTATGCTATATAAATGAACTTTCCTTGCCTTGTCTGTTTTATGGAGTGCTGTTGTCCCAATTTGACACGCATCATCTTGCAATGTAAGAGCTGTTGGAAGGGATAAAGGCTTTCTGGGTTTGGCACAGCAGTTTGGCCTTTCCTACCCACTAAAATGTCCATACTGTTGACCCAACAAATTACTGTATTTGGATTGAGGGTGTGTTGTAGGTTCGACCTTTAACAACCTAAAAAATACAACCAGAAAAAACAAAAATGTAACTTTTGAGACCACTTTTGAGACACTCCCCAAAAGACAGAAAATACATTAACCCTTCATTTTAAATTGCCTGGAACATTTGGTGCAATCTTCGTTTGGTGATGGCATCTATTGAATTCCTTAAAATCTCCACTTGAAGCCCTCTGTTCCCAGTAGCCTATAGGGTGATGAATGTTGGTGAAAATTAATAGTTACATGCCAGAACAAGATGTGCAGTCAATCTAAAAAAGTGATGCTTCACAGAGAAAATCGTCTCAAAAAGTCTTTGCCAACAAAATAACTGAATAAAGAACTTATGGTCTCCTGGGACACAATCAAAGCTCTCAATCAGTAACAGAACATTTCAGAATACCCTGCATCTAAAGATATTTGAAAGGGGATGCTTCCACATGTGGTCTTTATTTAGCTGTTGACCATAAATAATAATCCATTCCGTTTTTTCTGGGATCCTAAAGTTGGCTTTCTTATTTATTCTAAGATGCAGTTTCATTCCTCCTTGATGGGTTTCTTCCTGCCACAGGCAAAGTACGCAGGGAAATGCTCAACGGTAAACAAGGACAGCTCAGAGTCTCTGCTTACATCCCCTGTCTGCGTATCAGGAGGAATTTGTTGTGAAAGGGAATCTTGGTGGCTCTACGTGTTCAGACTTTAAAACAAAACATTTGTGAATTTACTCTAACTCCATTCATACTGCACTATTTTATTTTATTTCTGATATTTTTAGTTTTATGATAAAACCCCAAGACCTGTTAATGTGACTGAGAAAGATCTGCCAAAACCTTCAAATGGATGTAAAAAAAAAAAAGAAACTTTCTTATTTCAGAATATTCAATCAGTGAAAGAGGAGAGAAAATCACTAGTGTCACAACTATTTTCGTTGTTGCTTTTAATGCTTTCTACATCCTCTTTTAAACAGCTGGTCGACACTTGATCCTCTCCAACAAAATTTGGAGCAGACAGAGGGAGCAATTTTTAACCATTCCTCTTTCAAATCTTTAGTTAAAAAGATCCAGAATCCTCTTTTATACTCTACTAAATTCAACTAAGTGAAATAAGCAGATCTGGGGACTAAGAATTTATTGGAAGCAGTGTCTGAACTGTAGTGTTTGTTGCAGATTACTTTCTTCAATTTAATTCCATTAGAGTAAAATCACATTTCAAAGCAAGTCTTTGCAAAGATTTTTTAAACCCCACATTTACTTATGATAGATAAGCCCTTTACCACTATGTTTACTTTAAACATAACAAAAAAGGATTTGGATGTACACGTCATGATACCAAACTTTCATCAGAGCTGCAGGTGCTACAGTACATTTGGAAATGTTTTGGAAATGTTTTTTTCAATCTCCCTCATCATCTGATTTGGAGGCAAAATAGCCTTGATTGTCAGTTCGTAAATTTCTACCTATCGCTATGACTTGAGGTGTGAGATTAACAATTCACCGAGCCACTACATGACTTATAAAGATCAGCACACATTGGCTCTATTAACAGGCAGTGCTGGGAATACTACTGCCTATTTACAAGTTACTTCCCAAAAAATGATTAGCATGATTAGCCTTCATTTTCTACTCACCCCCATGCTGAACAACACTCTGGAGTACTTTTTTGATATCTCAAATGCATCTGGAGATCTGGGAGGCTTCTTGCTGTCTGCTGACATTCAAATAATGGAGGTCTATGGTGCCCGAGGCAGAAAGGTCCATAAAAGTCCAAAAAAAACGTGTCAATATTCCTCCATACTGCTCGTCCAATGTATTCCAAGTGTCCTGAGTGGGTAGCATCCACAATTTACTCGAAACGAAGTCATTTAGAATGTTTTTAGAGCATAAACAGTAGTGTATAGGATTTCCTAAAAGTGCGTTCACGAGTCTACGGAAACCGCGGCAGACCAAACCAGATGAAAGTGCGCATTCAGCTTGGCAAAGAACTCATGCTCTTCCTCAACACTGAAGTCCTCAGACATTTTTCTTTCGTTGTTTCTTTCTTTGCACAGGTAAACAGCACATTTCTTCTTCTACGCTTGCATTATCGGCAGAGCAGACGCTGAATGCGCACTTTTGTCTGGTTTGGTCTGCCGCGGTTTCCGTAGACTCGTGAACGCGCTTTTAGGAAATCCTATACACTACTGTTTATGCTCTAAAAACATTCTAAATGACTTCGTTTCGAGTAAATTCTGGATGCTACCCACTCAGGACACTTGGAATACATTGGACGAGCAGTATGGAGGAATATTGACACGTTTTTTGTGGACTTTTATGGACCTTTCTGCCTCGGGCGCTGGGGACCTCCATTATTTGAATGTCAGCAGACAGCAAGAAGCCTCCCAGATCTCCAGATGCATTTGAGATATCAAAAAAGTACTACAGAGTGTTGTTCAGCATGGGGGTGAGTAGAAAATGAAGGCTAATCATGTTTTGGGTGTACTATTCCTTTAAATACATGTAAAGTAAGAAGTTTTTGTTTAAAAAAAAGTAATAAAGGGAGTACACATGAGAAACATTGCATGCTAATCTGCATCATTTTGGTTTATTTTATGGGGCAAAAGAGAAGTAACATATTTATTAAGATATTATTATGGTTTTCTGTTTGTAATTAAAGAACAATGAGGCAAATTTGATATTTTAGGACTTTATATTTTCAAACGTTGAGAGGCTTCAATAATTTAATTTGAGGGAAAAGGTTATATTGTGTATGTGGAAAAATTTTTGGATCTTTGAGTTAATCTCATAAAAACAGCAATACCAAAAGGGTTGCATTTATATTTTTGTTGAGTGTATGTAACACTGTTACTCCATACTACTAGGTTTTATTATGCACAATTTCTAACCTTAGTAATGCAACATTTTGTTTTGTTATAGAGACTGCAGAAATATATTCTTATGCATACTTGTCCCTACTGTACATATCCCCTGTTAACTGTATTTGTGCTTCTTCTGAAGTTCTGATTTTTGTGAGGAATAATTTATTTTCTCTGCTGTTTACTCAATGTCCACATTGATGTTATTCCCTCATTGAACAAAGAACTCTGATTGGATACAAAATGTCTTAAAGTGGAAGGATTAGAACTAGTCCAGTGGTTTTCCAAAGATTTTTCTAGTGGGTCTCAAAGCAGCTTGAGATCTCCAAATTAGGTCTTATTTTCTGTTTGGCTTTTTCTTACTGGCCCAAAATCCTGCTGACACTGTTTCTTTTCTCCATGATTGTCTTGATTCATAAGTTGGAGCTTAGAAGACTGTAGAAAAATAAATCTAACTCTAAAGGAAACAGAGGTAGTTTGACATAATTTTCTGGTGTTATTTAGTATATTTTTTCAAAGGGAACTGGCAAAAGAACAAGAAAAGCAATGTAAAAGCTGTAAAATTCAAATTTCCATTTAGAGTAAACCTTTTTTCTGTATTTTCTAAATTTATCGTTTTTATTTTCCATACTTCGTCTGACTTCAACTGCTAAAAGTATCTATATTTCCTCTTCTTACAGAGTCAGGCAGTGGCCCACTACAAGGGCACCAAACATGCCAAGAAGCTAAAATCGCTGGAAACCCCAAAGAGTAAGCTCAAAGGCTCAGCAGTCACCAAGGAAACTGCTAGCCAGGAGACTGCCAAGGGCATCAACACCTTGCAGGTCCCCAACGGCACCGACAGGAAAGGTCTGTGTTATCCTGCCCTCCACACATTCCCCGACACACACTCTATAGGTTTATGCAGCTGAGGTAGTTCAACAGCATCAACCCTAAAATACATCTTATTTCATTTAAGGAGTCTTACTTTGTTACATGAGCTTGTAATCCCTTTAGGACTTGGATGAACTCCCTCTGGATCCTATAAGGGGAAACTGCCAGGTTACAGGGAGCATATCAGATTTTCTAAGCCTGAGAGGTTTTGTGGAAGTCAGAGACAGAGAGGCCAGAAGTACTTTTTATTTTATCTAGAGTTACAAAGCGGCTTTTACCCTACAAATACTAGATAGTCATTGACATATTTTCTTATCGCCCTCTCAGGTCCTTTGGTCCCTATTTACCCCTGTAAAATATGTCAAAACCTGACATTCACCAAGTGAATATCAGCAAATGGGAATACAGTATAAGGCTGCTTAAGAAAATAGCAGAGCCATAATTTTTCTGTACTACCTGAAAAATTTACCTGAAAATATGTTTAAGGATTTAGCTTTTCTGTGAATCCCTGCACTTATATTTAGTTGCATAAGCAGCTGCTTCCCATCTGTGAGTTCACCAACTGCTGGCACCCGTGCACAGGTGTAACTGCCCAGAATGAATGTCCTGCATTCCACAGTTTTTGTGCATGTATTGTTTTGCCTCAGAAACATCATGTTTCATGTACACCCAGAACCAGGGACGGGGTAGCTGCTCCACAGTGTTATTCTTTCTGCTCTCCTTAGAGGAAACGCCTTCTTCCACTTGCATTAATTCAAGATAAATAGTCTTGATGCCATAGCATGAGAAATATCCCCAGATTATGTTAGCTGAGCCACCATCTTGCAAATTGACTCACTCCATTGGACCTGAAACAACATTCTTCCCGTCATCAATCAATAAAATGTTGCTCTGTTTCTATTTAGACCAATTAATATCATTTTTAAAAGTAGTTTTTCTTAAGTTACTTTAAAACTTTGACTATAAACAATTACATTCAGATTGCCTAAAGTACAGTGGTTTTCCTATTCAAAGTAATGTTACTAATTAGATTGTATATTCTTCTTAAAGAGTTTTCAACATATCCGCCCATAAGGGTTGTAGTTTACAGGCAATAGAAGTAGCAGGCAGGTAGGTGGCGCTGTAGTTGTGTCTTTACTATACATTGCTATAAGCTCTTTTAGTGCGACTAACTGTATGTGCTTTCTTTCACCACTTTTGACATGAAAACTGTCTCTGAATTCGTCTGCTTAACTGTTTTTTTTTTTTTTTTCTGGACTGAGCCTCATGCTAGTTTACAGTTACATTTTCTAACAAAGAAAGTTTTCATGGATCAGTGCATTCTATTTGTGTGTTTTCTTGTGTATTTTTTAACTCCCAGTCGGCCTCTGCAAAAGGCCACTCATACTTAGCCTGGTTCTGCTTTCCTCTCCACACTTTGTGCATACAGGTGCTGGTCATAAAATTAGAATATCATGAAAAAGTAGATTGATTTCAGTAATTCCATTTAAAAAGTGAAACTTGTATATTATATTCATACATTACATACAAACTCATATATTTCAGATGTTTATTTTGTTTAATTTTGATGATTACAAATGACAACAAATGAAAATCTCAAATTCATCATATCAGAAAATTAGAATATTACTGAAGACCAATAAAAACAAAGGATTTATAGAAATGTTGGCCAACTGAAAAGTATGAACATGAAAAGTATGAGCATGTACAGCACTCAGTATTTAGTTGGGCCTCCTTTGGCCTGTATTACTGCAGCAATGCGGCGTGGCATGGAGTCGATCAGTCTGTGGCACTGCTCAGGTGTTATGATAGCCCAGGTTGCTCTAATAGTGGCTTTTAGCTCTTTTGAATTGTTGGGTCTGGTGTATTGCATCTTCTTCTTCACAATACCCCATAGATTTTCTATGGGGTTAAGGTCAGGAGAGTTTGCTGGCCAATTAAGAACAGGGATACCATGGTCCTTCAACCAGGTACTGGTAGCTTTGGCACTGTGTGCAGGTGCCAAGTCCTGTTGGAAAATGAAATCTGCATCTCCAAAAAGTTGGTCAGCTGCAGGAAGCATGAAGTGCTCTAAAACTTCCTGGTATGTGGCTGCGTTGACCCTGGACCTCAGAAAACACAATGGACCAACACCAGCAGATGACATGGCACCCCAAACCATCACTGACTGTGGAAACTTTACACTGGACTTCAAGCAACGTGGATGAGGTGCCTCTCTTTTTTTCCTCCAGACTCTGGGACCTTGATTTCCAAAGGAAATGCAAAATTTACTTTCATCAGAGAACATGACTTTGGACCACTCACCAGCAGTCCAGTCCTGTTTCTCTTTAGCCCAGGCAAGACGCTTCTGACGCTGTCTGTGGTTCAAGAGTGGCTTGACACAAGGAATGCGACAGCAGAAACCCATGTCTTTCATACGTCTGTGTGTGGTGGTTCTTGAAGCACTCACTCCAGCTGCAGTCCACTCTTTGTGAATCTCCCCCACATTTTTGAATGGGTTTTGTTTCACAATCCTCTCCAGGGTGCGGTTATCTCTCTTGCTTGTACACTTTTTTCGACCACATCTTTTCCTTCCCTTCGCCTCTCTATTAATGTGCTTGGACACTGAGCTCTGTGAACAGCCAGCCTCTTTAGCGATGACCTTTTGTGTCTTGCCCTCCTTGTGCAAGGTGTCGATGGTCGTCTTTTGGACAACTGTCAAGTCAGCAGTCTTCCCCATGATTGTGTAGCCTATAGAACTAGACTGAAAGACCATTTAAAGGCTTTTGCAGGTGGTTTGAGTTAATTAGCTGATTAGAGTGTGGCACCAGGGGCCATCAATTTTGAACCTTTTCACAATATTCTAATTTTCTGATATGATGAATTTGAGATTTTCATTTGTTGTCATTTGTAATCATCAAAATTAAACAAAATAAACATCTGAAATATATGAGTTTGTATGTAATGTATGAATATAATATACAAGTTTCACTTTTTAAATGGAATTACTGAAATCAATCTACTTTTTCATGATATTCTAATTTTATGACCAGCACCTGTACATGCTTGGTGTGAGGGAATGCTAAAGCCAACAACAGTGCGAGAAAATGTTTTCTGCTTTCTACAGCTGAGGAGGAATCTTGTAAAGTCAATGACTACATGCAATCAGATGAGTTTTGTTAGATAGAGAATTTTTTAACCAGTCTGTATGTGTGATTTGATTCTCTTTGTAAAGTGCCTTGGGTGATGTGTTATGAACGGGCGCTATCTATATATATCTATATATATATATATATATATATATATATATATATATATATATATATATATATAGCGCCCGTTCATAACACATCACCCAAGGCACTTTACAAAGAGAATCAAATATATATATATATATTTGATTATATATATATATATATATATATATATATATATATATATATATATATATATATATATATTTGATATATATATATATATATATATATATATATATATATATATATATATATATATATATATATATATATATATATATATATATATATATATATATATATATAAACTGTATTGAGTTGATTTAAGTAGCATATGTGATCAGAAATTGGAAATATACTGAAGGAAGCTGAATCTATAGGATATTTTCCTTTCATATGTCAGTTTTTTTCACCTGCCACTTTTAAGTAGATTTTTTTTGAATGGATGTAAATATAATCAGTTAAGCAAAACTCAATGCTTAAAAAAGTGTCCTTTGCCACATGTCTCACCCTTTTTTCCTGTCAGCCTACTGTCAGAAAAATGAGCCACTAGTGCTGAAAGAACTCCAAAAAAAAAAAAAAAGAAAGTTGAATAAGTAAATAATATTGGGTAGCAAGTGACAAATGTTTTAAGTCACCCACGGCAATGTGATATACAATAATGGAATGTTTGGAGGGTTTGCATCAAGAAAGTTCTTTAAGTTTCTTTAAAGGAATACTGCTTTACACAAAGTTATCTGAAAGATTCACAATAGTCCTCCTTGGTGAAGATAGTTGAGTATGTTTTGTTCCAAATAGTTGGAATAATTTTATATCTGAACAATATCTTTAATTGTTTAATGAGGTTTGAAAATGTATTCAAAAAAGATAAGAGATATAAGCATTTTTTAACTTCAATAGCAGTGAGTACTTTAGGAGTTACAAGAAATTTTATTTTATCTAATTTGCCATATTTTTTTAGTCAAAATTTGGAAGGAAATGCTTTTTCGTGCAGAGAAGTGGATCTTCCCATATTTGTTTGCAGGCTGTGGTCTAGATCCTGCTATCTTGGCCAGGTGTTTGCTTTGTGGTGTTTTCCTGGATAAAACACGCTTTAAATGGAAAGCAAAAAAAAAAAAGAAAACAACTGTCACTTCCAGCGACTGATGGGAACCAGATGCTGATTATTTTGCTGCTCCATGTTGGCAACCAATTGCATTGGTGATAAGTCCTTCTCTGTCTGCTGAACTAACACATGTGCAGGATAATATAATCATCTCTAAGCCTCCTAAAATTATTTGTTGAAGCTGGCATTTTGACTGTGGAAATTTAGAAAAGAACTGGAAAGACAGTGAGCAGTCCCGAATTCACCTCAAGCCGCCACCAGTATTCTTGACTTGTTCAACATTAAACATATATATATATATAGGTGTCATAAGGAACATAAAAATAAATGACTACTTTTGGCATTTAATGCAGCTAACCCTAACCCTTTTTTTAGAGAGGTACTTTCTACCTATAAAAATGTCAAAGCTAAGTTGTGCTCCCTGGTTCTAAAGCTTTTGCTGCTTTGTAGGTGTCTTCTGCAGCTGCAGCTCTGTAGGATTATTTCTCTCTTAAAGTGAGAAATATATTTTGTAATTTTGGTTTGTAAAACTATTTTTCATTATAGGAAAAAATTTACTGCTGCAGAACTGAGCTGAAATGACTTGCACATTTATGCTGTTATTTCAGTATGTGTCACTTTTAAATAGTATGGGT